AAAATGTTTTCCCCTTAAAATTAGTACACATAATTATAAGCGTGACATACCTAACTAACTTTTATTTAAATCGACTAGTATTTACATGTAATGCTAAGCAATTCATCATAAATGAAGTGCCTTCTTAACTTTAATTAATATCAGTTTGATCTTTTGATAGTGAGCTATGTATTTAGTAAGAAAAAAATTTAATATCATGTATTTAGATTTGAAAATGATACATTTTTAATAGGTTATGGACATGTCCATTGAAAGATATTATTCTTAATGACATCTATTAAATATATGCAAAAGTTGCATTATTATATGAATGAGCAAAAAGTGTATATACCCATGCACATTACGTGTTACTCTATTTACAGATTATCACTCAAGTTCCGAATCAGCATCTTTGTTTTTTTCTTCTTTCTTATTTTTCCATTTTTCCTTTTAATTACCTTTTAAAAATTATAATAGAAAAAGTGAGACAAGATTTGGTCATGCCATTTAAGCAACTCATCCACCTATACACCTTGCCAAGTGGGAACCCATGTGGACACATGAAATAGTGCTTGCCCTACAAAGCTCCAAGTATTTACATGCAACAACACGTAGACTATTAAATCGAACTCAGCACTAAAACATGTGTGGTGACACAGTGATAGAATTGCTTTACTTTTAATTAGAGGTCGAGTTTAAGTATGGAAAATTTTTTATTGGAAATAACATCCTAAAATAAAAATGTTTGTTACGAATTTAATCTAAACTCTATCGTGACCTTCAAACACCGAATAAGAAGCCCAAGAAAATGAAAAAAAAAATTACAATACTAATTAATCTACTATGCAAATTATGATGAATGGTGACATTATTTTAATCTACTATGCAAATTATGATGAATGGTGATATTCTTTCATTCAACAAATTTATATTTGACAAAATGTCACTAAGAGCCTCAACAATTTATTTCTATTGTTGACTAAGGTGTCCATAAATTTCGAAAATCTAAAGAAGTATCCAATTTTTTTTGTCAAGAAAAGGAGATACTTCCTCATATTAAATTTATGTTTCGTACTTTTTTTTAATCCATTTAAAAAATAAAATCTTTTTTTATACGGAAAATGGCAGTTACACGCGTGTACAAAAAAGATGCATAGACGATTTTGTTTATATGTAATAACCATCCAAACAAGCTGTTATTTATTTGGTAGTTTAATAAACATTAAATGTTAAGAAATACATACAGATTTATCTAAAGTTTGATTAGATTTGAGGCAGTGACGGAGTCAGGATTTTCAATAAGGAGTTTAAAATTCGTAGAAATAGACACACAAAATAGCCGAAGGGGGTTCGACATCTATTATATATAAATAAAATATTATTTTAACAATATATAAATAATATAATTTTATGTCGAAAGAAAACTCTCTTGTATTAAGATAGATCCGCCTCTGATATGAGGTACCTTATAACGTAATTATAAATTGCATGACGATTATTGATTATTTATTCTTCTTTAATTTTTTCCAATACATGATTCCAAATGACACTCCTCACATTTAGACAAATAATGATTATTATGTTGATTTTTGGTTTTAATTCGTCCTTTTGATGTTTTTACAAATAAAGTTTGTAATATAAAATAAATACAATAATATTTTAACCATCCGATATAGGAAAAGCATAATTTGCCTACGACAGGTTAGCAATGTGTGACACTAAATATTAGTCAAGTGGTGAAAATAAAAATTAAAAATACTAGTAAAACTAACAAAAAACGTTGCTTTTTAAAAAAATATATATGAAAAAACAAGATGAACGACATGTGTGATGGAAGCCAAATCCGTATAAAAATAATAGGAGGAGACTCGAAGAACTTCTCAATCAAAATGAGATTGCATCCGGGAACAACACTTACTGTGTTTTTATTTGTTTTAGGTGATAAATGAATCAACACACGATATCCAAGCTGAGGTGCCATGATTTATGTTAGTTGCATATGATATATTACTGATGATGAGACTAGAAGTGGAGTTAATTATAAGTTGGAAGTTTGGAGACAAATCCTGAAATCTAAAGGGTTCAAATTGAGTAAGACCGAAACAAAATACTTGGATTGCAAGTTCAGTGTTACAATTTGTAAGATAGGTGTGCAAGTGAGACTTGATTTACAAGTCATTCTTAATAGAACAAGGCCTTTGATCCAAGAAAATGAAGAGATCCATGAGGATATCACACATCATATTTGTGCAGGATAGATGAAACGGAGACTCGCCTTCTGATAAAAAAGTTGCACCAAAGTTAGTGTTGGACATGAAATACCAAAAATTAAATTAAATCAAAATTTTTGGTAATTCGGTATTCAGTTATTGGGTATTCGATATGATATTGGTAATTTTGTATTCGATTATTGGGTATATTCGGTATGGTATTCAAGAGTAAGATTTTAGGATTCTGGTATTTGATTTTGGGTTTGGTATGAGAAATTAGTACCATTTGATGTTTGGTATTTTTCAAATACCAAAGTATTTACTTAATTGAAAATAATGTATCAACATGTTCATTACTCATTAGTACAAGTCCAAAGAAGAAAGCTAAAGAATGAACAAAACAACCAAAATACATGTCTTTTAGTTGTATCAATTTATTTTTCTTGATTTTTTCTTGCCTATTTGGGTAAAAACTGTTTACCAAATGGATACACCATATTTACCCATATTATAATAGAAATCTTGTTAAAAGCTTTAAAAATAAAAATAAAAAATAATTTATCACTTCACTCCACCCTCTACGAGCCCCCTCTCCCCCGTTATCTAAAAAAAATGTAAAAATAAAATAAAAATATTTCCACCCAACCCCTACAAGGCCCCCCCACCTCCCAAACACACACCATCCCCCAAAAAAGTAACAAAATCTTAAATATTTTCATTAATTCTTTTAAAAGTTACCACCCACCCCCTATCAGTCCCCCTACCCCCTATCAACCCCCTTTCAAAATAAAACAAAATATTAAGTTTTTTCATTAACTTTTTTTAAGTTAAAAATTAAGAAAATTTAGCAATTCTATGAATTGTTGTTAGAAATGGTAGACTGCGCAGGAAAGGATTACACCCCACACACCTTATCCAAAAAAAAACTTCACTAGAAAAAGTAAAATTCTTTTTTTAAAAAAAAAAAAAATCCCCCCCACCCCCAACACCCCATCCCAAAAAAAAATTAACATTTTTTTAAAGTTTTTTTAAAAAATTTACCACCCCGTACTCCTCTACACCCCATCCAGTTTTTTTTAAAAAAACTATTTTAAAAAAATTACCAACCCACCCGCTATCCCCCCTATCCCAAATTAAATGTAAAACAAAAATTCATTTTTTTTTAAAAAAAAAAACTTTTTTACTACCAAACCTTTTATCAATTTTTCTTTGTTTACTTTTATCCATTTAACTATCCACTTTCAAATGGATAATATGGGTATTACTCGCTTTTTCACCCATAATATGAATGGATACCCATATTATTTACCCATTTTGCCACCCCCTATACTTGAGTTTTGACTCGCTTGTCGACAAGCTTAGGCTTGGTGAAAGCATGGGAGCACTACGTATGTCGTAGTATTAGCCTTGTGCATGTAATATCTTTTAGTTATATTATTAATGTTGGTATTCTTTTTTCATAGATGCTCCGTATTGACGTATCTTTCTCCATTCTCGTATTTTTTTCATAAATAATTTGATTTGTTGCATTTAAGTCGAATGTCTTTCAGAAATGATTTCTTTATCTCTTCAAAGAAGAGATATGATTTTGCGTTCATTTTACCATATTCAGACCCTACTTTATATAATGGACAACTTTCACATATAACAAATAAAAAATTCTTATTTGTATGTTATAGCAAAGTTTGCATAATTGCGCTCCATATCAAACATAGAAACTATATAATTCGCTATACATATACAGTTGAAGCAAATTGTATAAAACGAAGTGTATAAAACAAGAAAGAGAAAGACACATGGGCAGAGAACTGTATAAAAATGAAGTGTATAAAATGAATTGTATTATTATAAGTGTATAGAATGATTATATACAATTTGAATTTGTATAAAATGAGAAAGAGAGAAAGACAAAAGACACTTGACAAGGAATATACAATTGAATCGAATTGTATAAAATGAGAAAGAGAGAAATTAGATACAATTTGAAAATTGTATAAAACAAAAAAGAGAGAAAGACAAAATAAACTGGGCAGGAGAATATTTTTATTGTATAATTATAAGTGTGTAGGACGAAAATATATGTACTTGCATGTGTATATACAATTTTCTCACGCTTTATACAAACAGAAACACAATTTATACCTTTCGCTTCTGTTTGTATAAGTGAGAAAGGCGAGGATGACGAGCGAGATTTGGGAGAGTGGCGAGCGAGATTTTGAAGAGGGGAGAGAGGGGAACAAAAATATATGTATTTATACAATTTTCTCTGCTTTATACAATTAGAAACAATTTTTATACACTTGTATTTGTGTAAAAAGTGAGGACGCGAACGAGAGATTGGAGGAGAGTGGTGAGTAAGATATTTAGAAGAGAGGCGCCTGAAAATTTATTGCAAACGTTTGCTTTGAAGCACAATTAAATCAAACCCTATCTACTCCATTTATTTTAAGTTATTAGTTTGCTATTATATATAATTTTCCCTTATATAATTATGGTAAGTATGCTGTTATTGTTACAAATAAATAATGAAATGTCCAAGAAAGCCTTTTAAACTTATAGTTATGTTCTAATAATTGCAATTACATCTTAAATTACATATATCATTATGATTCAAATCTCAGCAAGTGCAATTCACATTTTCCCCCCCTTCTCTATAGTAAAAGGGCCCCACCTTTCCCTAAAAAAAAAGAAAAGGTTCCACTATTCCACATAGGTGAGTTCTCCCTCTCTGTTTTATATATATACAAAAAAAAAAAAAAAGAATGAAATTTGATATTCAAAAATCAAAACCCTTCTCCACTATTCCACATAGGTGAGTTCTCTCTGTTTTATATATATACAAAAAATAAAAATAGAAAATGAATGAAATTTGATATTCAAAAATCAAAACCCTTCTCCTAAGTCTTCTCTTTGTATTCCCCTCTTCACCAAAATCAATTACTCTCTTTTCCCTCTTTCTCTCCTCCCTTTTTCTCTCTCTAAACATATAGATACAGTAAAATATATATATATATATATATATATATATATATATATATATATATAGAGGTAGGAATTTGTGGGTTGGTGGGGGTGGTGAAGAAGAAGATGAGTAGCAACAACAGTGGAGTCGGTGGAGGAGGAGCTAGGGTTTCAATCCCAAGCACTGTGAAGAAAACGATCCACAACATCAAGGAGATCACTGGGAATCACAGTGACGATGAGATATATGCAATGCTCAAGGAATGTTCGATGGATCCCAATGAGACTGCACAAAAACTTCTTTATCAGGGTCAGTATTGCCTTTGGATCATCTTCTTTTCATTTGGGATCTCTTCATTTTACTATATACTCACTTCTGCCCACGTATTTTATTTTCTTGCCTTTTGTGTTCTTGTTACATTCATTCTCATACTAATTTGGTCACTTCTTGATTGGTTTTAATATTGGACATTATCAGGGCTGATAAAATTGTCTTAATGTGTAAAAACAGTATATTTAATTTATTTTGGTCCTCAATGCAGCTTTCCCTAAATCCCCTTTTGTTTTGATAGAGATGGCTTCACCGTCCCAGTTATTATTATTTTTTTTTTTGCTGCAGTTACATTGACAGAACCTCTAGTTTTAGAGAACCCTGAATTTGCCTTAAAATCATTTTTTTAAAGTATTGGAATGACTTGAGACCACAACAGAATGGCCAGAAAGGATTCATATATCAGTTCCAATAACCTATGTTGCTCGAACTCTCCAAAAATGCAGTCGCACCTGTGTCGGATTCTCCAAAAATGCGCTGCTTTGAAGAAGAGAATCCGACACACATTCATTGACATTTTTGAAGAGTCCAAGCAACATAGCCAACAACTTAACAAAAAGATAGAGAGAGTTGGTCCTAACTACTTTGAGATTGAGAACACATGTGATTGATGATGTGTATTTTATTTTTGTTCAAGATAACATTTTGTAGTTATCAACAAGTTTTGTTTTGATGAAGTTTGTCATCGAGAAGGTTTAGTCAAACTTCTCATCGTCTATTTGGTGCGTGGCAGAGTTGTCGATTTTGTATTTAGTAGTAACAAAGCAATTAATTTGGCTGTCGGTTCTTCTTTCTTGTTTCGTTACATTTATGATGGTTGGTTCGGATGCCTTCTTTAAAAGAATTCGGAACCTTCAAATGGTTGGAGCATTAAATTTTGCTTTCTGCATCTTCTGGTCTTGCTGATATTAGATAATTTTATATGTGCACAAGTAACCTATGGATTTCCTGGTAACAAGACCAAAGGGAAATTTGCACATGTGCACATAAAAGATGCATAGATAGGTGTTTTTTATGTGTTATCTTATTTTCTATTTTTAATATTCTGTGAATTTTTTGTTCTTTTTTAAAACTACAGCCCATGTGTATTGCCCCAGCCAGGATCTTCTTATTGTTATGCCTCCTAGCTATTGCAATATAAAATTTGTTTTTCCTAACTCATCTTATTGAGGGGTTATTTACAGATACATTCCATGAAGTAAAAAGGAAACACGACAGAAGAAGAGAGGTATGGTTAGCTACTGTTTTGCATGCTCACAATGCTCTCTACAAAGATCCATAGGGAATTAGTGTTTTCTGGGTGGGGGATTTGCAAAATAAGGTCTCAGCTGATTTTAGATGCCCAAAGAGCTTAATGTAGTGCACACATGCACACTGACAAGTAATTATACAAGCTGATGCAGATTCATGAAATCAACATTGAACGTAGGGTGGTGGAGCAATTTATTGTTATTGCTCGACAATAAAAAGAATGTAATGAACCCTTTCAAACAAACCTCTTGCTAAGATAAGGCTGTTCAGCATGTGTTAATGCCTTCTCTATTTAACCACTGTCATCTAAGTTACAACTTATCTGGTTGATGTGCTGAAGAACATCATCACTTCTATGATGCATCGAATGTCTATTTTGTTTGGTCAATAGTAAAAGGGGGAATGTGCAGATAGGCATGAACACCTTGGCTGAATCGGTTCTTTTATAGGTCTTGGACCCCATAAATGTCATATGAATTTCTCCCCCCCCGTAGAATTCCATGCTATAATTCAATTTCAGTATTTTGCTTAATTGTTTCATATGTTCTCTCTTAGTGACCCAATAAATGTGAAGTGCTGGCTGACATGCATTCATGGCCTTTCACGGGCTGATTCTGTATTGTTATTACTTAATTTGCCTTTTTTTTTCTCCAGAATTTGAACAAGGAGTCTGCTGAGCCAACGTGGAAACCAGCTATGCAGGGGAGGGGGAACAAGGGGAGTCGGGGAAACTTCACTCCTCGCCATGTCTTGCTTGGTAAACATCCATTTTGTTATTATTTTCTCTGACTTGTGATACCTTATGCTGCCGAAGCTGAACATGGTGATTTCATATTTGTCATCTTTTGATATCTTGATTTTAGTGTTCTTTTTAATTGCTTGACCTAGTTTCCTTTTATTTTCCTCCATTTTCCATTTTTGCCAAATGACAAAAGGCTGGCATCTGTAAGAATCCACATTGTGATCTTGATGCTGCTTATAATCAACGATCACAAATTTTGCCTGATATATCTAATCAAATTACAAGTTGCTCCAAAGTTATAACTACTTCATACTTCAATTTTTTTTAAAGATGCCTTTGCACTAGCCAAACAACAACAAAGAGAATTGATATTCTGTCTTTTGGGCCACAGGTAGACTTTCAACAATTAATATTACTTATTGAAACCTTTTCCTTTAACTTGCGAGTATTTTCACTATATCTTCAGTTTTGAGTCTTATCACTCATGAGCCCCTCTTTCCCTATCCATTCATAATTGACGTGTATATGCTTGGTCAGATGTTGGTGGTGGAAGGAACTCTAGACCTGATAAGGAAAATGGAGCCAGTCATGTTTCTGGAAAGAGTGTCAATCCATCTTCCGTGCCTACTGTTGAGGGGAAGAATACTTCAAGGTGTTATTGATGTTTCTGTATTTTTCTCTGTGTGCATTACAACATGTGGATGCTCCTTGAATTGCCAGTGTTATACCTCTTCAGATTACAAAACGTTGTTTATTGTTTCTATACATGGTTTGATTTCAACTATTTTTGTTGCCTAATTCTCTCTCTTTTCAGCTCATCAAGTGCCAGAGCCATTCGTCCTGGTGTTGTAGCTTTTGGGAGTAACAATGTTGTACCTAATGCACATGCATCAGCAGGAAGAGGGATTAAGCAATCTGAAGCCACTGCGGGTGCTGGCTCTATTAAGTCGGAGGAACCTCTGCAATCTGCAAGTCATGATGCGAACAGAAGCCCTAGAGTGTCTGTGGGAACCAGGGATATGCTTGGACAGAAAATGCCAAACTTCAGCAACTCTTCAACATCCTTGTCTTCACCACCTTCGTCAGGAGCTTATTTTTCAGCGTCTGATCCTGTTCTTTTGCCATCTCATGATTCACGACCCCTTGGTGCAGTAGGCACAATCCGAAGAGAAGTCGGTAGCCAGCGTGCTCCATTTGAAAATTTTCCTACCAACTCTAACGGAAGCAAGACAGCCACTGGTAAGCCTGTGAAGACTCCTGTCTGGTAGTTTGTCCTTAATTTTTGACAGTATTGATACTGTGATATCATCATCAATTTATGTCATTGTTTGGGGTGTGGGGTCATCCAAATTAATGGATCTCATGTATTTGTTTCTGCCTATGTATGGATAGAGGTTTCTGACTCTAGAAGTTCAACTGTACAAGCAAACATGTCAAGCAAATTCCAGGGGCTTGTAAAGAATCCGCTTCTAGAGAACCCACAAAGTGCTTCTTCGGCTCAGGGTGTTTCTTCTCTTAGTAGACCTACACCTAATTACAATAACCGATCACCACTGGTTGGGCCACAAAAAGGTATAGTGTTTAAACATGTTCCATACTCTAATACATTAGTATATAATTATCTTCCCCCCTCCTTGAAATATACTTTTAAATGATATTGTTTCTGCAATTGTTACTAATGGTGCTTGATGATCGAGCTGTGGACGGATTTAAGTTGTGGTATTTAGGAGGCTCTAAGTATATGAATAGAGTAGGAATTTTAGTAGATACAAAATTAAGGGAGCAAGTGGTGAAGTTAAGCAGATCAATGACAAGATGATGGTGATCAAGCTAGTCATTGGAGGGTTTTCTTTGAACGTCATTAGTGCATACTTGCAGTAAGTGGCTTGGACGAGGAAGTCAAAAAGTGATTTTGGGAGGATTTGGATGAGATGGTGTGGAATATATCACATTCCAATAAGCTTTTCATTGGTGGAGATTTCAATGACCACATTGAGGCAATTTCTAGTGGTTTTGACGATGTGCATGGATGCTTTTGTTTTGGTGATAGAAACGAGATGTGGTGCTTTGCTTCTGGATTTTTCTAAAGCTTTCGAGTTGGTGATAGCTAATTCGAGCTTTTGCCAAAGGAGGACCACTTAGTTATCTTCCCTAATGCGTTGGCCAAGATGCAAATATGTTATTTACTCCTTGAGAAGGTGGATATAGGACTTTGTAAGACCGCAAGGTTATTCCTAGCGAGAATCTTATCACCCAACATAACCTCTTGAGTCTTGACTAGGGACTTGAAGATCAAGAGATAGAGGGAGAAAAGTTACTGTAAAGACGGTTGAGGATTGAAAGGGGTGGCTTTACCTTGCCCAAGCATGGGATATGGGGGAGAATTTGACTGAGGCTCGGGGGAGTAGTGGGGATGCTCATGACATGTTGGATAAGACTTCTGGTGGCATCAATGACGTAGCTAAAAAGGTCTTGAGGTTTTTGAAAGGTAATGTTGGTGTTCATCGAGGTGATCGGTGCTAGAACGGAGAAGTCCAAGGCTAAGTGGAAGCTAAGATGGTTGATTTTGCAAAGTGAGTGAACAGTAAGGAGGAGGAGGAATAATGGATGAACTAGGAAATGTATAAGGTTGCGAAGACGGTAAAGTTTGCTGTTATGGCGACAAAACAACAACTTTCGGACGCTTGTATGTTGAATTTGGAGACAGATGAAGACAACAAGTTTTACAGGCTTGCCAAGACAAGAGAGAGGAAGACACGAGACCTAGACAAAGTGAGAGTATCAAGGACGAGGGAAGGAAAAGTATTGGTGGAAGACACTTTCGAGAAGGAGATGACATGTTTACTTTCACAAGCTCTTGAACGAAGAGGGGGACAGGGACATTGTGTCAGGTGATTTAGAGCACTCTGAGAGACACCAGGATTATGGGTATTGTAGGTGTATTAAGGTTAAGGAGGTTAAGGGTGTCCTTTAGAAAATGTGCAACGGAAGAGTGACAGGGTAAGATGAGACTTTGGTGGTGTTCTAGAAGAGCTCAAATAGGACCGGAGGGGATGACTTGCTTGTTTAATGTCATTTTCAAGACATAAAAATGCCCGAAGAGTGGAGCTATAGTACAATTTTCCCTCTATAAAAGAACAAGGGTGACTTCCAAAACTACAGTAAGTTGCTAAGCCACAAGTATCCTCAAAAGTAAAAAGTGCAAAAAAAAAACGTCTAAGGTCAATTGGGGCTTTAAGTGCAAAACACAAATAAAGCATGGGCTTTATGAAAAAAGGTGCAAAGGAAAAACACTAATATATATGTTTTAGTCCAAAACATATACTTATAACATGAATGACAATATATGAACAAAGTTATTGAAATTTTTTAACAATTAAGTGAAATATCAGTTGTTTAGTGTCATTAGAAGGAACTCATTGATAAGGAAAAATATGCCTTAGAACCTTGATGACAACACTAAACTACACATTAACCGAGATGGAGTGAGCAATTTGTTTTGAGCCTCGCTTAAAGGCCCAAGCGCGCCTTTAACAACATTGTAAGCCACACAATGGAAGCTTGGGAAAGGGAGAGGGAGATGAGGGTGAGAAAGATGTGTTCATAGAACTTGTTTAGTTTCATGCCGAAGTGTTCTATTATAGAAGTTATTGTCTTGTGAGATTGGTGGAAAAGTATAGGGAGAGGAAGAAAGACCGACATGTGGTGTTCATTGATCTAGAGAAGGCTTACGACAAAGTTCAAAGAGAGGTCATATCGAGATGCATGGGGCTAGAGGTGTACCAGTGACTTACATTATGGTGATAAAGGACATGTATGATGGAGCCAAAATTCGGATAAGAACAATGGGAGGAGACTCGAAAGATTTCTTAGTCAAGAGGGCGTTGCACTCAAGATTAGCACTTGGCTCCTTTTTATTTGCCTTGGTGATGGATGACTAAATGCATCACATCTAAGGTGAGGTGCCATGGTGTATGTTGTTTGCAGATGATATAGTACTAATATAGTACTGGCTGATGAGACACGCGGTGGAGTTAATGCTAAGTTGGAGGTTTGGAGATAGACCATGGAGTTTAAAGGGTTTTGGTTGAGCAAACCAAAATAGAATACTTGGAGTGCAAGTTTAGTGATACATCATATGGGGTAGGCGTAGAAGTAGGGCTTGATACTTGAGGCATCCCTAGAGAGAACTTTAAAAAGTATCTTGGTCCTTAATATAAGGAAATGGAGAGATCGATGAAGATGTGACACCTCGTATTGGTGTGAGGTGGACGAAATGGAGGCTCACTTCCATAGTCTTGTGTGGTAAAAAGGTACCCCCAAAACTTGAATGTAAGTACTATAAAATGGTGGTTTAATTAATTTGTGTAATAAGTGTCTTAACATATTGAGTAGGATGATTTTTTTTAACACGACATTCTCCTTTCTATGTATGGGGTGTAGTATTGGCTAATTAAAAATTTTCATGTTCAAAAAAAGCAAGTCTCAAATGAGGATGTTGAGATGGATGTGTGGACATACTAATTACTAGGAAAGATAACCTTAAGAATGAAGATATCTGAGATAAGGTGGGAGTGACCTCTGTGGTGAGCAAGATGAGGGAAGTGAGATTGGACTAGTTTGGACATGTGAAGAGGAGATGCATAGATGCCCTAGTAAGGAGGTGTGAGGTTGGATATAATGGGTATGAGGAGAGGAAGAGGTAGGCCTAAAAGTATTAGAGAGAGGTGATTAGACATGATATGTTGCAACTTCAACTTACTGAGGCATGGCTTAGATATGAGGGTATGGAGGCTATGGATCAAGGTAAAAGGTAGTAGGTGGTTGAGTTTTGACTCGCTTTTCGATAGGTTTAGGCTTGGTGGAGCCAAGGAGCACCGTGGCTTTTGAAGTTTTCGTCTTGTACATGTATTTTCTTTTCAGTTTCAGCAACCACATTATTTTGTTGTTGTTACTGTTTTCTTTCTCGGAGAGAATGCTCTATATACTGCTTCCCTTATTAATTGACATGTTTTTTCACTATCTATTCTTTTTCGTATATACTTTGATTCTTTGTACTTGAGCGGATGGTCTTTTAGAAACCACCTCTGTGTATCTACTATCCCTAGACCCTACTTGTGGGATTACATTGGGTACATAGTTGTTGTTGTTTTAAACCTTTTTGTATTGATTTTTTCTTTAGCTGAGTGAATGTTTTTCCGGTTGGTACTTTTGTTGGTTTAGCTGGAGAGATAAAAGGCCATTTCCTAATCTCATTTGCAGTTCCAATTTTCTTCTTTTGATTATCTTGTATCTTTCGGTTTGTATTCTCCTCCTCGTGTCCATAGTCCTAGTTGAGGGCCATGCATCAGTATTCTTTAGTCTTTAAAGATGACTCAACAGTTACATTATTTGACGCTTTAGAGCGTTATGATACTCTAGCTTTTTGTTAAATTTGATTTTCGCTGTTAAATGGGAAGAGAATAAAGTGCTGAACTCTGGAAATTAGGGTTTCTTATTTGAATAAACATGCCGTGCTCAACCTAAAAACATTTCCGTTGTATTTCACTACAGCTGGTCCTGGTATGGAATGGAAGCCAAAGCCTACAAACAATAGTATTGCTCAAATTTCTGTTTCATCTGCTGCTGGTTCATCTGATGTTTCTACAGTTTCTACTGAAGTTGATACTCAGCCGCAGCCTCCAGGTGTCGATGTTGAAACAAGGGAAGGGACTTTGGAACTGCAGCAGAAGTTAGAAAAATCACACATTTCAGATATTCAGTATGTTATTATCCCTAACCACCTTCATGTGCCCGAGGTGGAAAAACTTGGTTTCTGTTTTGGAAGTTTTGAAGCTAGCCTGAGTTTACGCATCAGCACAAACAGTGCTGCTGAGAGTGAAAAGACTCTATCACTCTCTGGAACTTCTGAGGATATCGAAGAAACAATAAATGATCAGTTGTCGAGGTCTGTCATTTCACTTCTTGCTTCCCTCAATTGACCTGCGACTTGTGAACGCTTTTTGATTGCCCTCCTTTTTGCCTGGGAATCAAGGATTAGGATGAATAGTACCAGTATATTTCACCTTTCTAATTTAATATATGTGGGGGGATTATTGGAAAGGCCTGTTTTTGTTTTTTATATGATACTGCAGATAGAACTTAGAAAAGAAGTGCATACAATTAATTGATGGATGCCTACATATATACATGAGCTCACAAAAAGTACGTTATGCATTATATAGGGGTATTAATGTGGGAATGGTTTATCTGGAAGTCCAGTTTTGCAGTAATACTAAACTGGATATTCAAATAATATTTTTCAATATTTTGAAGATTGAACTTTTAGTTACTGAAGTCATTCAGTGATGCTTTGTTTATTCTCTAGGTTCTCATTACTCAATCTTCAATTTTCCAGACAGTTGCCAGCTGCATATGGTTTTGGCGAAGTCTAGGAAACATTCCAAAAACGAAACCAACTGCATATGATTTGAAATAACTTGAAAACAACTTGGTCTGGTTTTCAAAAACCAAAAGCCAATGATTAATCTTTTTCCTTAGCAAAATCTGATTTTGAAACCAACCTTCCTAACCAACCCGTACCCAAACATACAACTTTCTTCCATAATTAAAGGATACTTAACTTTATTGAATATCCGTTACCTTTTAAAAAAACAGCTTTCATCCATAACCATTCCCGATTAATTTCTTGTGAAATCAAACCCAAAAACCAATTCCAAATGCATGGTCTTTTTCCATCTTCTGCATTGACCTTGTATCTTTTTTAAAGCAATTTGGACTAAATTTGGAAATAGTTTTTGAAATTAACTTTTCAGAAAAATAGCTTGTTGAAATTGAGACGTGTTGGTAGGTGTTGCTTCTACATGAAAAAAACTTGTGGAAGTGAGTGTTTTGCGAGTAGAAGAATAGTTTTTTCTTTAATTAATATGCAAAATTCTTGTTTGAAAACACCCTCAAACTGCAACTTCAGAAAAACAGTTTCTGGATGTCTTTTTGTAAAAACTACTTCAAAATATTAAACAATTGTGAATTAATTTTTTTCTACAAATTTTGAGAATAAATTTCTTGGACAGAAGCCAATAATTCTATATTTTAGAAAAATCTTCTAGAAGTTTGAGACGTAAAATATTTAATTCAATTTGTCCTTTTTCTTTTAGCTTTTAAGCGCCTCCCTTATTTTCAAATGTTTTCTGTGCATATGAACTTGTTGCCTTTAGCCGTGTAGTTTATATTTGATGGTATTTTTTATAACACTTAAAGCTATATATACTTCGTTTGTAGCACATTCACATGTTAATGTTTTCATTCTTATGAGTGAATGCAGTGATCAAAATCCATCAGCAGCTGCAGAGGGTGCCAATTGTTCTGATCAATCTCCGCCATCAGGTGGGCAGGAGAATTTGTCTGCAAAGACAGAAGATGTCTCATCCTCCATTCCCGAGTACAGTGAATCTAAGCAAGGGACTCTGCAAGGAGGTCATCAGTATTCAGTTGTTCATACATCCCCAAACTACAGTTTTGGTTTTGTGCCACCAACATTAGGCAGCCAGCTTGCACCTTTTGAAATCTCTGAATCACAGTCTCGTGATGTTTCTCGTCTTCCAAACTTTGTCGTAAGCCTTCATACTGTGATGTACTTTTTGCATATTAAATATTGTTGTTTGGGATGATTTGACATATTACAAGAAGTTTGCGACCATGTGGAACCGATTTAACTTATTCATGAAAATTTAGTTCTCACGATCAATCAAGAATTGATAAAACAAATCATTTGTTCCTGTAGGTTCAGCAACCAATTGACCCAACAAGCTACTATGCCCAGTACTATCGCTCCAGTGTCGATGGTGATGGCCGCATTTCACCTTTTCATTCAGCGGGAGTTTCTACCAAGTACAACGGCAATGTTGCAGTTGTGCCTCCACAAACTTCTCAAGAGGTTTGAAAGTACTCTATCGAGTATATGTTCTATTGTCTGAATGACTCTATGCAGGAAAGTATTTGGGGGTGGGGTGGGGTGGGGGAGATTATGCACTCAACACCTTCTCCCAATGCTTTCATCGCATCAACAGAATTTCGTCTCTTGCACAGTAATGATATCTTGTCCATTGATTAGTTTCCTTTACTATAGATGTTCCCTAGCTTAGACGAAATGTTTGTTTTTCTGCTTAACAACCTTAAAATCTCTCTTTGCCCCATGCATTCGTGAAAGTCATAATTGTTATCATGATTGCGGTCCAGCAGGATTCAGTTCAATGTCTCTAGTTGGTCGATTCTTTAGCTTGATGTAATGGGAACACCAACATACCTAATGAAATCCCACAAGTGGGGTCTGGGGAGGGTAGAGCGTACAAAGCTTTTTACGTGAAGTTCTATTATTAGTGATGAGTGTTCTTCAAGAAATTTGTTACAATAGATATTTCTAGAGTATTATAAAATCCTTTTAATAAACTATGCATTAGTTGCATAGTCTAGTGAACACTATCCAAATCTTTTAGTATTGCATTATTCTTAGAACCTTGAGTGACATTTGAGCTAATGTTTTCTAAGTTCCGTAAGTTTATTAGATGCTTTTTACCAATTTTCTATTCATTAGAAGATCTATGCTAAATGCCATGAGTTCTCCCTTTATGTTGCAGTGAACCACCAAGTATTGTGTAAATCTATTAAAGATAGCTTTTGACAATCTGCAGTAAGTTGCGTGCCTGGTGCTAGCCGCCCCTTCTATAATTATGACTGGACAAACTTTATTTTATTTCTTCTGTTGGATTTCATACCTTCATACTCTGTACAGAAGTATACCACCTGTTCGTTTATAATTTTCGTTCAGTTGTTTGATTTACAACTTGCTAACTTCAGCTCAACAGTAAGGTATGCCTTGTTGATATGCATTTCAAATGATATGTAGGGAGGAAATGCTCCAACATCACTTGCAACTCAAGCTGCTGGCATTATGCAGTGTTCAGCAGCTGTAACTCAACAATCCCTCCCTGTATTTCGACAAGCTACAGGGATGCATTTGCCTCATTATCCTCCAAATTATATCCCATATGCTCACTACTTCTCTCCATATTATGTTCCTCCAACAGCCATCCATCAATTCTTAAGCAATGGTGCATTTCCCCAGCAACCTCAGGCTGGTAGTGTGTATCCACCTCCTCCAGCCGCTGCTCCCAGATACTCACCTTCACAATATAGATCAGGAGCTAATGTAGGAAATTCAACTCACAATGGAGTGCCTGGGACGTATGGGCCATATGGATCCTCTACATCCAACTATACCCCTGTTTCGACTACAGGAGGTGGAAACCCTGCTTCTAATGAGGATCCTTCTGCTTCTTCCTTCAAGGATAGCCAACAACAGGTTGGTCTTGTGTTTAGTTCAAATTTATATTCATGTTATCTTTTTCCTTACTGAAACATTGAATTGACATCATTCGCATTATTTCTATATCTTTTTGAATGGTGAACAAAGGAGATCGTATAATGATGATTGATCACCCCCTAAGATCAGCAATAAGAGGGTGCTATCCCAAAAACAGAGGAGAACGAGAGATGAATTATGGGGTCTGTATTGATTTACAACGTAATACATAACGGTGCCCTTTAGCTTTACATCAACTGACTTCTAGGCCCTCCAATTTTGGGTTTGCTCAAGCAGACACTTAAACCATCCAAAAGTTGAACAAGTAGACACACATGTCCTATGTGGTGTCCTTATTGGCAATATGTGTCCAGCATGTCATCCTACGTATATTATGCCACATAAGATGTGTCTGTCTACTTATTCAACTTTTGGATAGTAAGTGCCTATTTGTGCACACCCAAATTTTGAGGGCGTAGATGCGGGATGCCAATTGAAGCCAAGTCAAAGGACACATTTATGTATTATGCCTTGATTTACCCCTAGTGAGAAGATATAATTCTAACAACCTTGCCAGTAAAGTGAACAGACAACCATGTGAAAATTATTTACTATATCATGACTTGAAATTATTTGAGCAGAATGAAAGGGCCTAAAACTGATGAAACTAGGCTATGTCTGCTCTTTTAAAACACCTCCAAAATATTTCCAAAGCCTCCTATCCCTGCACGTGGACTGATCTGTTGCAGACTCTGATTCTTTTAATTCTTGCTGATATATTGGAGATGCCATATTGATTCTTGGAGCTTTCTGTGAATGTCTGTATCTCTCAGGGAAAACTGCACTTGTATTCACGTTTGTTATTACTATCTTTTTACTTATTTGAGTGACCAGTAGTGTGCACATTAGTATAGTTAAAGTGGAGAACTAACTATACTCTGCCCTGCATTTGTATTTTTGCTTGCAGTTTCCAGAGTTTAACTTGTGCGTGTGTTCTATAGTATATGCATGTGCGTGTGTGTATATATATATATTTGCTTTGGATGGTGGTCCTCTTTTGTGGAGGTTCTGTGGTCTACTACGCCCTTGTAGGGTTGTGCATACTTCGCCAACGTTTGAAACTTTTATTTTCTTTTTTCATGATTGTGGCAAACTAGAAATTGTGTTGCATGGCAGTCCTTTTTTCAAGAAAATTTCAAGGATCCCATGTTCTTATTCTTGTGTCGAGTAATTTTCCTTTCGAACACTTTTGCTTTTGAGTGGGACAAACTGATGGTTATTGCGCTCGTACAGTGAAATTGAAATGGCATGTTCCTCTTGTCTGTCTAGAAAGGCTTCTCCTCTTTTGAAACTGACTTATTTTACTTTTATTTCTAAACAACGAGTGAGATTCAACTATGATTTGTTCTTCTGACCTTTGTGTGGTAACTGTTTCTATACTGTTTGCTTTGAGTTTTGTATCAACTGAATAATTTTTTGTGTAACCTTTGATACTATGTTCAATTTTTATAAAGGTATCCAAATTTGTAGATTATTATTTTGAACATAGACTCGTTCTTTATGTAAGTACTGAGCCCATAGGTCTCTCTGGTCTGTGTGTATCATCTTTTTTGGGTTTGTACTTCATTTATGTGGCTTAAAGGTGTGAACAATTTTGTTGTTGCAGAGTGAGGGCTCAGGTGTGTGGATTACTCCAGGTCGAGATTTATCCAGCTTGCAAGCAAGTTCTTTTTTCAACCTACCCCAGGGTCAAGTGGCTTTTACTCCCACACAACCTGGCCATGGAATCATTGCTGGTCTTTATCATCCAGCACAACCAGTGACAGCACAGACTGTTCACCCACTTATGCAACAGTCACAGACCATGTCTGGTCCAATTGATATGGTTGGACCCACAGCCACTGTGTATCAGCAGCCTCATCATTCACAAATTAACTGGCCAAGCAGCTACTAAGGAGCTGGTCCTGCCATTTGTAAACCGGAAAGAAAATGAAATTCTTAAATACAATTTTGGGGGTTACAATTAGTTTGGAGACGGAGGAAGTATCTAGCACGTGCCTAAAAGACAAGCACTGTGCAGGTTGACTGTAAATCTATTAGACCCCTCCCTGGAAAAAAGGAAAAAAGACGAGGTATCTCTTTTCTTGCTTGGGATTGAGGATTCAAAGGGTAAAGTCCTCCTGTAACGAATAGTGACATTCTTTAGTTTGTAGCAGGTATAAGCATATCAGTTTTCGTTTACATTTTGTTAGCCCTTCAATAGTTTTCAGCATTAACTCTTTTTCTTTTTGGTATTTTTTTTCACATTTCTTTCGTATGTATCCTTCTATTGGTAGGTTAGGACTGTTAAAAGCAATGAGGGGTTTAGGGGATTTTCATAATTTCTCTCTTTTTGCTTCCAATCATCTTCATCTGTAAAGTTAGTTTTGACATTTAAAAAGGGATGTACTTGGGACTCTTGTTATTGGTGCTTCCAGATGCTGATTCAGTTTTGCATGTGGGGGTAAATTGATTGATATAATGCAGCTTTTAAAGAGCTTGTTGAAAAATTATGGAATCTTGCTTGTGCCCAAGATTTTCTGTGATGTATATCTTTTCTTTATTTGTCTTATTTTTGTCTTTTTCCAGTACTCAATGCAGATGTTCATTGCCATGAAGTAAATGTGGGGAGGGGTCCTGAAACATGTTTCTGATAAAAGATCTGCTGTATTTTAGTTAAGATACTGTACATCTAAACAGCACATAAACAAGCTTGGCATTGAATGCTCTGTTGGATCTCTAGGATTCATATTGAAAATATGACTTTAACATTATTGATCTTATTGCTATTTGGTGGGAAATATCAATATGAAGATACATGGATCCTAGCCCCTTATATCTTCATTGCTGGCTAATCTGTCACTGTCCTTAAGTACGTCTTTACTAAGACGATGGTTTCTCAATGGATGACAACTCTTCTTCTTAGTCCTTGGCCAGTCTCTGATAGAGGACGAAGCTTGAACCCATAGGGTCTCTCTTGAAGAACTAACCCTAATACTCACTTGGATTAAAATGGAGTCCGGAGCCAAAAAGGCAAAAAAAAATTGGCAAAAATTTTGGAAGGGCATATCAAATATTTTTGAACCAAAAGGACAAAATTGCTCCTGACAGAGCGACTTTCTTCTGACAATTTTAGTTTCTTTTTAAAATATCGCTATGGCTGCAGCGCTTTTCTGTAAGAAAAAACTTTAAAAAATTGAAAAATTGCTGCAGTAGCAGCCCTGCCGCGATCCTTTTTCTTAAAAAAGTAAATATTTTTTTAAAAAAATGGCTTGCAAGGCTTGAAAATTGGATTCTCACAAATCAAATAATCATCATATTGTGGAGTTTGTACCAACTCTTTAGGTCAACCAACACAAGAGGATATATGTGTTTTGGAAGGGCAACAATGGTGATTAACAAGAAGTAAACAAAAATAAGCAAGTCCAATAGCTTAATAAAAACACCCATTTTGGTCTTCGTCTCTTTGCAGCAATAGAGGTAGGCACCAAACAGTTCAGCTAATTTTTTTGAGAAAAACGCTGCAGGGGCGACTTTGTTAAAAAAGAATTTTGACAATATCGCTGTCAAATGCAGCGATTTTAAGGAAAAAAGAATTTTTCTGGAGGAAATCCTGCCCTACCAGCGATTTTTGTGTGTTTTTTTTTAAAAAAAATAACGGCTTCAATTTTGTCAGAAGGAAATCGCTCCATCAATAGCGATTTTGTCCTTTTGGTCAAAAAAATTAAAATAATGTACCCTTTTGAAATTTTTAATAATTTTTTTTGCCTTTTTGGCTTCGGACTCGAATAAAATGGTTCAGATATTGGATTTGACAAATCAATCTATACATTGTTTGGTAGTAAAAATTTATCAAAGCTTGGGAATTGTTGTGTGTGATCATTTCATTTAAAAGCTTAAGCTCTTAAGTTGAGAGAACACTTTTATCAGTTAATGGTATTTTCAACATGCTACTTCGTGTGTGACTTGATTCTTTTTCATGTGTCAAGCACACGTAAATTCTTTTTAATTTGGCGGCGGTGAGATTCAATTTCAGGATCTCTGTCTGCTCTGATATCATGTTGAAGTGTGTAATTATCTCACCTAAAAGCTTAAGATGTTAAAGAGAGCATACTTTTATTAGTTAATGTTATTCTCAACACGCCCTCTCACTTGTGGGTATGATTCTTTTTCGTGAGTTAAGTACATAGAAATTCTTTTTAAATTTGGGTGATAATGAGATTTAATCTCATGACCTTTGCCTCCTTTTGATATCATGTCGAAGTGTGTAGAAATAATAAAAAACGCAATTAGTGAATTTTTGCTTCTCCTTGCATAGTTTACAACATGATATCAACAGTTTTATGTTATGGATTGAACTTCTTTGATTTCCTCAACCGTCCTAGCTATTTTCCAAGATATTTTTGACACTTGACTTGATGCGTAATGTTCCTTAGTTTGAAGGAAAACATTATGCATTCTACAATATCTGTTGCTACTGTCTGTGTTTCCATATTGGTACAACTCTTTTAATCCTCTTCCTTTTAAATTGATAATATGTGTCCTGTCCATTTTGATAATATTTCTTTAGATTGCGTAGGTAAGAAATTAAATATTAAAACAAGAAATTTATACTTATGAAGTAGAAATATAACAAGAAATCTTACATGAATGTGTGGGCATACCGGGGTCGATAAGATCAAGAATGAGGATATCATCAACAAGATGGGAGTGATTCCGTGGTGGACAAAATAAGGAAAGTCTAACTGAGATGGTTGCGCATTGTGAGAAGGTGCAAGAGATTGGATATAGTCCGTACAAGTAAAGGTAGAGGTATATTGAAAAAGTATGGGAGAAATGTGATTAGACAGGACATAACACAACTTCAATCACCGAAAACAAACGTAACTTTAAGTAAGAGGCTGTGGTCACAAATAGGGCATAAGTTTGGTAGACGGAGAAGTGTTGTTTGTGAGCGTAAGGTTAGTAGATAATGAAGGGTTGTTCGTCGTAGTATGAATCAGCTATATTCTTATAGTGTATTGCTTTTAATTTTTATTATGTAAATTTCGATCGTTATACTATTTTATTGTTGTTATTACTATTCCCTTCTATAAGTTGTAATGCCTGGTTCAGTCATTTTTCTTTTTCATATTTACTTTGATTTGTTGTACTCACTCCGCATGTTATCCGAGAATAACCTCTTTACATCCACGAGATAGAAGTAAAAATCTGCTACTCTTTCCACCTGTGATTTCAAAAGTATGGTATTGTTGTTAGATTGAAAATAATACTGAAATTTCACTCTTCAGTTTACTTGCAACAATACCCCCTTTCTGTTATATTTTCACTTTTGACTTCTTCTATACTATCTTCCCATCCTTTTCCTCTTATTCAAAAGACTTCAGCTGGACACAAAATAAGATGAATAGATAAAATAATCAACCTTCAGCCGACATTTTTTCTTTTGGTTTCCCACCAGTGTCTTGTGTCCACATTGAAGCTCCTACTATATATAGATAAAATAATCAACCTTCAGCCGACATTTTTTTCTTTTGGTTTCCCACCAGTGTCTTGTGTCCACATTGAAGCTCCTACTATATCCGGATCACCAACTGCAGGTGGTGCTCCCAACAGAGCCAAGGTTGAACCAAACATTGAATGAGCAGGGATTTTAGAGAGATCTATTTCATAGGAAACTCAAGCCTCCTGTGCCCTTGACATATAATTTTTCAAACAATGCAAAAGATCCATTAGGAATGTGCGACATTTCACCATATCAATCAAGCATTAGAATGTTCCCTTATAAGGTTGCTAGCTAAACCAGAAGATGAGAAACATCAGGAACTGGCAATTTTGTAACATATGTACAACAATATATGAATTGTTGGTCGCAACAAAGAGACCCGTCACTGTGATAGGACGCAAAGTATTACAGTATAAAAGGTTACAGAATTATGCAGTGTCAAAGATCAGGCAGTCATCAATAAATTTTTACCCAACTAAGCTGTACATCAGAACATATCAAACAGGCCTGACAAACTACAAAATTCACATTGGACAAGTATCTTCCTCACCTTCTTTAGGCATAATGTAATTCCTGCAGAGAGGGCAGGTGACATTCCAATTCTTTAGCCATTTCTCGAGACACAGCTTATGAAAAACGTGGCCACATGAGAGGCAGTTTATCTCCTCGTCATGTTTGAACTCTGCCAGACATACCACGCATTCTTGTGTAGGGTGATTAGAACACAATGAATCGTAACGAACAGCAGGGGTTCTGCTTCGGAACTCCTCCATGTATGATCCCGAGGGGCTCCCACGACACTCAAATGGGTCAAAAGGGCCTTCAATAGAATATTCTTCCCATGATGCAAAGTTGATGCCAATCACATGAAGGATAGATCGAACCATTCCCTTGACAATAGAGATGGATATGGCTGTATTAACCAGAATCACACAGAACACTCCTGCATCTGCTGGAGTCGTATATGGTGAGAGTCCCATTATGAATAGGAACCTGGATAATGAAAGAAATGTCAACAATTTGGAACGTCATACAGGACTTCAAAGAAGATATAATAAGTTACCAAGCAAAGAGACTGATGGTCTAAAATCAAGTCCCACATCTTCTTTCCGCAAAAGCAGCATTTCAATCCATCTTCATATAGGTATAATAAAAACAAATAATTCCAAATTTTTTGCTGTAAGTTACTTTTCATAACGATTTTCCTAACTTGACACATTCTGGAAGGGTCTCAATTGGTTTAGTTTCCTTTCGGACCTCAAGTAGAAAAAAGATTAAACAGATTGCTAAGAGGAAGTATAGCATCAATGGACGTTTCAAGTTGAGCAATAAAGTTCCATCCTTGTCCATACTTCTTTGACAGTACAGAAGGCAAAATAATGCAAATAGAGGTTGATCATTGGTCATTTTTGAAGAGAAACGGTTAAGAGTCACCAGTTTCAAAGCACCAAAGCAGCCATTTTTACTGTTATTTGTGTTATTCTTTATGTATATTTCTGTAAAGCATGAAGCATTTCATAGCACTATACATTAACTTTTGACATAACGCAAGTACTCGAACAGAAACATCAGATCAATGACCAAATAACATCTACTGGAGAATTAGACTAGTAATGATACAAAATTTACCTAGTGTAGATGTGAGGAATTTCTCTTCAAGCCAAACTTTTGGAAGAACTCAATGCACTGGATCTGCATAGAAATAGCAATCAGGTATTGTAAAGAAATGTTGAAGCAGACCACAACAGCGAGTCCACAAATTATGATTTGGTAAACACTTACCCACACGGGGCGTTTACACCAGTGACCAAACCAATAGATGCATGATGTAAACTTATCTCATTTAATCACGGTTAATTAATGTATTACGTCTCCAACAGAAGCAGATTAGATTGATTTCTCTTGGCTAAGATTTATAGTATACACATCAAAGTAACATCTAGAGATGATTGAAGCATTACAACAGAGCAGGTGAGAAACTTAGGAATGCATATTTCTAGTTTAGAAATGAAAACTGGAGCCACATCTAAACAAATGGAAGAAGTCCCATTAATCAGAATCCCCATCTTCTGTCCTGTTAATTTTAAATGTAATTCCACAAATAAGGTTTGAGGAGGATAGAGTATTCACGGACCTTACCCCTACCTTTGATAAGGTAGAGAGGCCATTTCCAAAAGATCCTTGGTCATTTCAGCTCAACTTTGCGCCATTTAACAATCAAGATTTAAGTATCCAAGAACTGAAGCAGCCTATACTACTAACCTTTTTCTAAGAAAGTAGGCAATTTTGCTTTCTTGCAACCAAAAAAGAAGAGGTTACCAAAAAAATAAAGCAAAAATTGTTAAACTCATCCTCTCTCTACTTTGCTGTTCCAGAAAAACATGTGAAGATAAATGCTCTTTTTTTACTCCTCCATAGGAGCTCCCACTATTTTGCTCTCTCAATAACTTGAGCTCACAATCTCAGGATTGGAGGTGAAAAATAGTTACCATCCAAGCAACCTCTTATTATATCTAGAAATGCTATAAACCTTGACAAAATAATTGGTGATACATTCACCCACTTGCACACTTCCTTGCAAGCACGAAATCCTTAGTTCGCCCGCTACCAGACCGGCCGGTGTACTCTAATTGCCAACCCTGAGAGAGGCTATACTCTAAGAGTCAACCGACTCATTATCCCTGGACACAAGGATTAAAAAATAGCGATGTATCAGGGGCTGAGCATACATTCAGCTCAGGAACAAGACATCGAGCTATTAAGTTAAGCTGCCACTTTCCCCTTTTTAGCCCTTCTTTGTGTTTCCATCCTAAACCCTAATCTCCAATGCAAAATTATACAACTTCAAACCCAAAATATAAATTTAGTAAAGTATAACCTAACCCCTAAACTCTAACTATAGCCCTAAGCTTTATACAAATGGATATAAAGATTCAAGATAAAAAATTTAGATCACCAACAACAGTCTATATATGCAGTAAAACATCCAAACAAAACCTTCAGATTCAAGATGAAGTCCTCAAGTACCCAAAGCAATAAGGAGAAATCAAGAACAGAAGCAGAAAATATACTAATATAATATTTCTTGAAAAATTGAGATCTAAGAACAGATCAGACTCACTTTTTATCAAGACCCCATAAAAAAGAAGCGAACTTTTGTTTCCTATAACCAAAAAAGAGAAAGAGAAAAGCAAAAGGCCAAGATTTTTGCAAAGATAAAGAATAAAGAAATAAAGGGTACTTACTTTCTTGAAGGTGGGGTAAAAGAAGTAGAATTTGAACAAGTTGAAGATTGTTATTGATGATTGATTGAGGTGAAGATTCATATCATAGGACAACAAATGTCAAGATTGACCATGTCCTATGAACCTCCAAAAGACCCTTATTTTCTTCTATTTATAAAAAACAACAAAACAAAGTAGTGATTGATCAAACTCTCTCTTTGGTCCCACCACAAAATTACAGTTTGTGTTTTGTTCAATCTTTTCAATTATTGGAACTGTACTTTTCATGGTAAAGGTGACATAAATTTGCCTCTTGCAATTGGCAGTAACATTTCTTTATATTATAAAAGTTGATTAAAGAATCCATCTTTATTGTGTCCCTTTCAATTTTGTGTTTCTTTTTTCAGATTTCAATTTATCTTCAGCTGAGTTAAAGCTTTGTCATTAGGGAAAATTTTCAGAAAATACAATTAAGAACTTGTATTGTAGTAAATGAAAATTCACATAAATATACCCAATTAAGACCTTAATTTACTATACATAAATTTACTATTTTTATATATATCATTTTTTGGCTTATTTTTGTGTTATATTTTTTGAGCGGAAATTTAATCGTCTAATTTTTGAATTCCCACAATTAGGGGAGAGGTGTTTATAATTCGGTTATTGATTAAAATCAAAATTTAATCAATCTAGTTAGTTTTTTAAATTTCTAAAATCAACTCAAACCAAACGAAAAAATATCCTCGGTTTGATTAAGTTCGGTTAAGTTTTTCTGATTTATCCGATTTGAAAGTAATAGTAATTCTTTTGACGACTTACACCGACAGACACAAACATCTAGCACATGAACCAATTCATAGAAAAGTTATTGTCGACTCAATTAAGCGATTAAACAATACTAGAGTTATCATTACACGAACAAATTGTTTCAATTAAGAGAAAGTGTGACTATTTTATATGAAGTAGGGTAGGTAAAGACTAAAATAAATTTTAATTAACTTGGACTTCGACTTGGACTTAGGATTGTTATAGTTGGGCTAAAGTGTTGGCCTTGAGAAAATTGTAAGATTAAAGATTTAAGTTAACTAAAATTTATTAAAATATTTATATTTTATTTATGAATAATATATAGATAATTATAAAACTTATATATCTAATTTATCGGTTTGATTTGGTTAGTTTTGCGAATTGTTTTAGTAAAATTAAAATCAAACTAAATAATATCAGTTTTCAAAATTTAAAACCAAATCTAATCCAACCCAACCAAATATCGAACTTTTAACCGGTTTGATTCGTATTACAGTTTGATTTTGTAACCATCACCATGAACAATCCTACCCACAATTATGCACATTTCTTATTTCATATGTGTAATTTTTGTAAAACGATTTCTTTTGAATTTTAATTTTTTGGAGTGCACCTATTCACTTCAAAAACGTTTTTAGGGCGAGTCCCGAGGCGAGTCTTGGGGCCCGACATACCAAAAATGCTTCGGGATTCAAATTGAAGACGTAGATTCATATGACGTAAGTCCTGGCGTAAAAATGTACGTCCAGGTGTTTTTATTTTTTAAAAACATTTTTTTTAAAAATCATACTTTTATTATTGATGTAATGATATTTCTCAAATAGTAATTATAATAGTTTTTTTCTCGACTATTGATTATTATTACCTATCTCAAATAAAATCATAATATTTTTTCTATATATTATAAGTTATTTATAAAAAAAGTATTTTTAAAATTATTGAAAGTTTCACGTTTGATTATTTTTTTGTTAAAAAATTATAAAATTGAATATGCATAAGGCTACTCATCGTGTCTCGAGGCTTACGCCTCACCCTATACTGTAAGAAACGTCATGCCTCACGCCTCCGCCTTTTGAAACACCGGTCACAAACTCCAACAGCAACATCATGAAAATGCAACTTTTTGATGTATGAATTTTATTGAGTAATTAGTTTTTTTTATTAATTTAGTTTTTGAAATATATGAAATTATATATCATTGACTTGAATATGTATAGAAAATGTTGTATATAGTTGGTGTCAACATCTAACCACTATAAGAATGACTTACATCAACAATTGCTCTTATGTGTAACACAAACTTTTATCACCAATGTATAGTTATACATGAATATACATATACTAATTTATATATTTATATTTCATTTTACAAAATATCAATGTTTATAAAAGTATCAATTTATATGTATAAAAAAGGGTGTACTTCTGATATGATAATTTGATTTACTGTGTATTGTATGAAATGAATAATATAACATGGTATATAAATTGGTTTATTTTTTTTAAAGAAAAAAACATAAAGTAATATTTGAAGTTACATCATTTTTTGTCCACCTGACATGGAGATTGTATGCAGTCTCTTAAAGAACGTGAACAAACTAAAAAAATGAATATAATTTTATATTTACAAGTGTTTTGCTATAGAATATATTTCTTGTTTTTCTTATTATTTTAACTTTTTCTCCTTATTACTTTTTTTTCTTTCTTCCTGCTCCTTCAAAAATTCATTGTCATTTTCATTGTAACTTCTCACTTTCAATGCCACTTTTTACCTTAACTCCACCTCCCTTTTTTATAACTACTAGTTTCTGAGTTCGCGCCACGCGCATGTGGCCATATAAATAAAAATATTTTTGTGAAGATTGTATATTAGAAATATCTTCAAGTAATAGAAAATACAAATTACATGTTCTTAAAATTGATAAGCATCCTATATGGTGTTTTTGTTTCTAAGATTCAAAATCCAAAAAATTATACATATACAATATTTAAATGAATAAGTGAAATGTTATGTGCTAAGTTAATGAAATATGTGTAAAATCAGTAATGTTATGTGCTAAGTTAATGAAATATGTGTAAAATCAGTAACATATAGAAATCTTTTACCGTACAATTAATGTTGTGTGTTGCACATATTAAGCCCTAGCAAGGAAATTAAATAATAAGTGTCATCACGAGTGTATTCTTCACAAAGAAATTTCTTTGACGAATCCAGCAACATCCATAGCTGAAATTCTTGCACAAATCCAACAACGTTCATAGGTATTTTAATAGTCTTTAACTTTGACATTGATTGAGAAAAAACTACTCAAAGAAATGATATACTCTTCTTTAGAGCCCATAAAAATGGAGAGGGGACTTGAGGAAAATGAAAACTTTTCTTGCTTTATATAATATTTTCACTTTAAATGATTAATTGGTCTCTTTAACTTCTTTTCACGTATTTATCATTGAAAATAACATATATTAATATATTAACTATGAGATTCTTTGTCTTGAAATCTACGACTTTTAAGATTCTAGCAATGTTAAGGTAACTGCTTCTCTATTTTAGTCAATGTGCAACTTAAATCTCTACCTATTTGCTCTCATTACCAACATTTGTCTCTTCATTTTCTTTAAAGTTTAGATTATTTAATTTTCATAACTGTTCAGATATTCTCAATTCATTAATAGTAAAAAAAGTTTACTGCTCAATATTTTTCAAAAATAAAATAACCAAATATGAATATAACATTTTTATTTAGTATAAGGATAAAATGGTAATTCAACTTTACATCTTGAAGCTTCCCACTTATAATAATATATGATAAGTTTAACTCTCTTCAATTTTGAAATGATATCTAAATAATTTATTATATTTTTGAAACACTTTGATAAATCCACTAGATTTCAATATGGTTAGTAAGTATTATTTAGTTTTTTAAATTCAAATTTGAACTAAAATTTTTTAGTTTCAGAGAATTTCGATTCTTTCAAATTATCGTTTCTAGTTTTGAAGTTATATGAAAAATGAGATAAGTTAATTGATGATACCTTCAAAATTTTGATTTTTCTTAGAAAAATAAATATTTTTGTTATTAATAACTCAACGGAGTCTAGAAAATAGTATAATTTTGGAAAGAAAATAATTTGACCAAAGAAGAAGAAAAAAGAAAGAAAATGGAGGGGCTCAACTTCACGTGGGAGTGGGATGAGGTGAGTGTGAAAGGTGAAGAAGAAGAAAGAAAAAAAAAATAGAGGGAGGGTTAACTTGAAAGTAGGGGATGAAAGATGAAGTAGAATTTAAAATGAAATTAAAATTAAAATAAGTCAAAAAGTAAGAAAGAAACAAAGAAAAACTTAAAACGAAAAAAAATAATATTTCAAATCAAATTACATGTGTCACGCGATAATTGTTGTGTGATAACACTTGCCATTTAAAATCTGAAATTAATTGAAAAATGATTTAATAATATATGTTCAAATTTATTTAGAGGGGTAATAGGACACCCAAATAGTAAAAATCTTTTTATAGGACAACTTGTCACGACCCAAAATGAGTCGTGAGTGGCACCCACACTTACCTCCTTAAGTGGGCGAACCAACACATCTAAACCCCAACATATACCAATAGTTCAACTATAAATAATATCAATAATGCGGAAGCTTCAAAAGATACTAAGCAACCAATTTAAATAAGTTTCTAAAGTTTAATACTTATCATCCCAAAATCTGATAGTCATCACATCAAGGACATCTAATCTCCAATACTAAGTCTAAGAATATCAAATACACTAAAATAAAGAATAAAATGGTATGTGTCCGAAAGTATAGGACATCATGTCATGACCGAGAGAATCCAACACGAGCTTGAATGGATAGCCCACCCTGTAACTTGATATGCGGGAGGCTGGCTAGAGCTGGGGGAAATCAGAAGTCATAGGTACAATCGCTGCATTTCATAAAAGGAAAACAAAGAAGAAAATAAGTAGGGCTCAGTACGAGGCAACATGTACTGAGTAAGTATCATCGGTCAATCCAAAATAGTAACTAATATACAATAAATAATAGTATGCTCAACTATAGCACTTAACAGGTGATAAACAACAAACAACATGAACAAGTATCAACAACATTAAAGTAAACTCGTAATAAGTCAATGATATCAAGAGCACACATGAGGACTCATGCCTCCAAACCAAACCATTTTGGGAGCTGAGCTCTTTGAGATTGAGTACCTTCCATTAATTCAACATGTTTTTCCTTTAATATTATCGTGTCGGAACGTGACACTCCGATCCAAGAATACCGTGTCAGAATGTGACACTCCGATCCAAGAATACCGTGTCGGAACGTGACACTCTGATCCAATTATACTTTTAATTTATCCTTTATTATCACCGCTTTCAATTCATTGTTATATTATTTTCATCAAGCCTTCTTTATTCAAGGCATCACTTCGATATAGAGGGTTAGAGAATATAAATTCTACGGTCT